TTGGAATAAATACAATCCCCAGGTGAACTTACCAAGTCGTACATCGTTACGTAGATATATTCCAGCTGTTCGTGAAGACATTGTAAATAGGATTAAATGTGGATTAAATAATACACGGCTCTGGTTATGTATTGACGAGACGACAGATTGTAAAAAAAATTCTATTTTAAATATTATAGTACGTGTACTGGGCCCTCTTAAACTAACATTTCCACTTTTACTAGCTAGTAAAAGACTAACTGCGTGTACTGGCGAAATAATTACGGGGTGTTGGAGACATTCGAAAAATTTGAACTTTCAACAAGTCAAGTATTGATGTTTGTGACTGATGGTGCTGCGACAATGCGCATGGTAGGCCGTTCTTTTCAAAGAGACAATTGTAGGTTTTTACATGTTACGTGTAAAGTGCATGCGTTACATCTTGTGGCAGAAACGATTCGAAAATGTTTTCCAGAGGTAGATGCATTAATAGCAAATACAAAAAAAGTTTTTCTCAAATCTCCTAAACGGCTTCGAGCATTTCACAGACAGTGTCCTGGTATCCCTAAACCACCAGAGCCGATTCTTACACGTTGGAGAACGTGGTTGACAGCGGCTTTTTATTATGCTGAATATTTTCAACAAATAAAAGCTGTGATACTACAGTTCAACCCTAACGAGGCTGCAGCTATTAGGGAAACCCAGACAAGCTTTCAAGACGTTTCCCTTGAAACAGATTTAAAAACTATTAATAACAATTATAGAGGACTATACGACGCAATAGAAAAATTGCAAAATAGTTCGTTGTCGTTAGTGGAATCGCTGCAAATAGTGGACAACGTAAATACACAGATACAGGCTATAAATGACGCAAAAAAATAATCGCGTTAGTGAAAAATTCGAGAGTGTATTACAGAAGGATCCTGATTTTAGCAAATTAAGACAAATTTGTGATGGTGCATCTACAACTTCGTTAAGTGAGTTCACAGATTGTTTTACTTATGCCTGTATTACATCCGTAGATGTCGAATGGTCATTTTCAAAATGCAAAACATAGTTTTTCACCAAAGTGAACATCGCTGACGGAGACAGCTGTAGAAACATACCTGATGCTATTATACTATAGATCTTCCCCACTTTGTGATGACGACAACCAAACTACTTCATAAATCTGCTTAAAAGGGTGAGTTTTATACAAATTTTTATAAAATGTAACATTATTGTTAAAATTTATTTCCATTTACTGTACTTATTCAAGTATTATGATATGATGTAAACATATGAGTCATATGACGGCTCTGTCAGTCAGGTGACCTCGGACAGCTCTAGTTATTAACTGCCTTGTCATACGATAAAAGTATTACATAGAACATAAAACAGAATATATGAACATATACACTTTATAGGAGAAAAGCAGCAATATGTGCTGTAATTTAAATTTGCAACTTGCAGGTATCCTACAAATGATACGCTCTATTTGTTTCAGTGATTCACGTTTTTCTGTTGTAGACAGAAAGCCAGTGATGACAATTAAAGTGTTGTTGCATTTTAATTATGCCAAAATGAAAGGGACTCTCAATTTATTCTAATTGGAGAATTTTCTGCCTCATGAAATTCTGTTTATCTCTATATTTATAAAGACAAATACTAATAAAATGTATGATATAATTTTATTGATATGGTAATCTCCATGATAACCGCTGAATTTTACTTCATTAAATTATGTCCATATTCATTATCACATACGTTTATTGGCCCAACAGAAATACTTGTGGTCCACCCAGCGGCTCGTTTTTTAATTACAGCTAGTTCCGTCAGTGTTTCTAGTTCATCGGTTGAATATAGGGTGAGACAATTCGTTCATACTAGGTTTAAAGAGCCTACAGCTGGTCTCAAAGTATGAAAGAACAGTAGACAACAACTGTTCTGCGTCGCCCAATATACGTTTAAGAACAACCATAAGATAGATATTGGCAATTAGAAATATAATAAACCTGGTTGCATTTGAAAGCTTAGAAATTATAAAATGTAGAAATAGTATGAATCGCGAAAGATGACCCATCCTGAATAGCTCACTTTACTTGTTATGGAGTCAAGCGGTAACTTCATGTTAACGTCATCACGATTTATGTTGCTAAACTTTTTGTTAAATCTGAAACGTGAAAAGAGTAATATATTTAAGATATTTCGATTCATTTTTAAGTTATAATTTGACATATACAGAAAAGATACCAGTGCTCTAAGATATATCCCTAAGGACTCTAATCATTGTTGATTGAAGATGACGTTACTTTCTGAAAATCCATTTTTGAAATTAAATAATTACAAAACATTGTTTTTTCTTGTCTAATTTTCACTTTTATTTTTATTTTAAACTTTACATCTAGTTTCATCCTATTCAGTTAGCATAAGTTTAGTTTTAATCATCTCCAGATAATGCCAACTTGGTTAGCGAAACGGGCGTCGAGTGCAGTATATAGTTTTTTGGTGTTTCGTGGAAAACTACGTCAGTGTTACAAAATAATATGTTAAAAACAGTAATTAAAATGTCATGAATGAGACAATCAATTCTGTAAATCAGAAGATTAAATTTTTTTTTACAAAGATTAAGAGATTATTATGCAGGAATTGGGGCATGCAATGTAATAAAGCCTGTGGTATGTTCACTTTTCATTAAAATTTCATAATCCACAAGTCTTCATGAAAGAATTCGATTCAAAATATTACAACTGATTTTTAGAGTGAAATGCGTTAATTGAAAATATACGTAACTGCAAGACGGTGTAAAAATAAAATGATGGAAAATGGAATTATGAAAACATATTAAATAATGATTTGTAAAAAATAAATTCTTGCTATTTTTAAGCAACAAATTTAAAAAGATCAGTTTTGTTGATTTATTTAAAGAGTTAACATCTTCAGAAATGGTAAAGCGCTAAAATCAAAGAAAATTTCACCGACTAATTTATATTGAGACACTCCATGGAGACGAAATGGCATAAAGAGATACGCCTTAAGTTTGCTTCAGTTAGAGTGTGAATAAAGAATACTGTTGTACGTTATATGGAGAAATTCAATTCTAAAAAATGCTGTTTTAATAACTCTTTTAAGCAAAATTGATTTCTATCTTTTTTAGACTCTGTTTATAAATTACATTGACATAAACAATATTAATACATTAAACTGGGTGTCACTGGAACATGGCACACCCCCTTTTTTGTGTAATTTTTAACATGATATTATATATAATCAATACACAAATAAAGACAATACTTGACAAAAAAAATATTTATCACTTCCGGTTTCAACGGCAATATATCATTTTTCTAAGTTAAGAATCAAACCATAAAAGAGGTGAACCATATCTCAGTGACACCCGGTATAACAAAATGAAATCGATAAAGTCATAACATTGTACCATATTCGCAATTTTAAATTGCAAAAAAAATGTTCGTTTTAAAAACAAACTAGTACTTTTTCTTTACGTTCTCCTCTAGTTCTCCATTTATCATCTCAATGGTAATGAAAGGTTTATTTTCTTCTTTCTTTTCATGTTGAACTAATTCTTGCATTTCTTCATTGTCTACTTTGACTCAAGTTACTCTAAGACATTTTGATTTCGAAACCACCATCAACCCTATATTTTAAATAATAATAAACAAACGCCACAGAAATTAGATAACCCCCGAATCCATAGCCAAAGCTGCACGGGCGAGAGTTACACTTAAGAAAAAACGCGGACACACAATCATTCCCACTGACATTGCCACTGTTGGTGACAAGAATCGAACCCGCAGGGCGATCCAGAGACTATCTAGATACACTTACCATCGCATGCTCTAGCCAACCACTCCAACCGGTTGTCTCTTATTTTTATATAATCTACAATTGACAGTTAATTTTGTATAACAGCTCCTCTCTGTTTCACCGCCTTTGTTTACTTACGCCAATCAATGTTTGGTGTTTTTTCGACGACATATGTTTCACATCATTGGTTTTGATGACGCGGTCTACCTGACCATTTTTTATGTTCACTAATGCATTACATTAAACAGAAAGTATCGAATATATAAAAAATGTCATTATACTCGTCATACACACAACAGACCTCTAGTTTGAAAATTCTCGAACTGAACAAAATTGATAATAACTATATAAACAAAATAACTCTCCCTAATAAAAATGTAAGGTCAATCTAGAAGATAGTAGTCTCACAATGTGCTTTGTTTAGGAAATATAATTATCGGCGTTTGACGACCCCACATTGGGGCTGGTTTTACATGCAAAAGATTAATTAATGATTAATGAATATGTAGGTACACTGTCAAAAATTACAGTTTAATTTATTACTATTAACGCCGTTTTACACGATGCAATAAATTTCACAAAAAATTGCGCAATATTTTATTGCATCGTGTAATATCCGAAATTGTTGTAATTTTAAGTTGGCAAGAAATTATGCAATAAATTGCGAAATTAGAGAAGGTTCTATTTTTCTGGCAATTTTTATGCAATTTCAGTGGTACCAACAGCGAGGCTTTAAGACAAAATTACAAAATCAAGTGACAGGACAAAACGATTAATATATTGGTTTTTAATTTATTTTTGTTCACTCCTGTTCCCGCCTGGTGTTCCATTTTTAGATTATGTTTATACACTTCTGTCTTCTGTTTTGTTTAGTAGAAATAGAAAATGGAATTATCAGTTGACAGTATGAAAAATTGTGCAATAAATTGCATCGTCTAAAAACCCCAAGGTCAAACTGCCAGGTTCACAATTTCTTGCGACAATAAATCGCACAATTTATTGTAAAATTTATTGCATCGTGTAAAACGGCGTTTACATTACGCGTTTTTCGAAATATGGTGTTAAGTTTAAATCCGTCTCTGGAATTTCATCCAAATTCCGTATGTCTATATCATAAATACGTATATCTTTGTAATGAATATATGGTAAAAATCAGAATAAAAAATTTTATCATAACAAAAAGTAATTGACAGTAATAACTTATGAAAATGAAATTCTTCGTGGTCAAGTCGTAAAGACACTTGTCTCTCACTCTGGAGTCCTGGGGTCAATACCCGGTCGAGGAGCTAGGATTTTTTCAAAACCAGAAATTAATCCCAGCAAACTTGAACATTGGGTGTATGTCCATTATCTCTAAACGTGTGCCTTCTCCCACACAAGTATGTACAGGATTATTCATTATAAATTACCCACCCCTAATCATCGTTATTATTGCCTATAGAAAAAAGTTTTAAGTAAAAGTTGTATGGTTATTACCGAATTTTGTTAAAATGCAATCAAAAATACAGTAGCGTACAGATTTCAGGAAATACAAGAAAATAATATATTTTTTAAATGAGATACCCTGTATATTATTAAATTTTTGGAATGATCCTTTGTTCCTGATTTCAAAAATATACCATATGTTACCCCTACCGTATACCGTTTTTGAGTTATTAAACGTCGAATATCTTAGTTAAACTAGTTGCTGTAAATATGGAAAAGTTAACATTAAAGTGAGCTGTGAAAATGACAACAGTTATGTTTGATAAGTGACATTTCTTTAATGAAATCATCAAAATGGTCTACTGAAATCAGGAATAAAGGATCATTCCAAAAATTTAGTAATATACAGGGTATCTCATTTAAAAAAATATTTTATTTTTTTGTATCCCCTGAAATTTGCACGCTACTACACTTTTGATAGCATTTTAACAAAATTCAGTCATAACCACACAACTTTGATTTAAAACTTTTTTTCTATAGACAATAATAACGATGATAAGTGGTGGGTAATTTATAATAAATAACCCTGTACTTTGAGGTACTTTCAGGGATGCAGGGGTTTTATTACCTATGGTGTTTAAATTTAAATTAAAAATTGAATGATGATTTCCAGAAATCGTTTAGGCCTCTTTGACAACATTGTGAAGTGAAATAAAGAGACACTCTTAGAAAGCGTTTTTTGTTCTAATATGTTCTCGAAAAATAAAATATAATAGAAAAAATAAAAATATTCTAATATTCCCTTTTTTTAAAACTCTTTCAGATATATCTTATAGATTTGCATTCTTTACAAAAATATGCAGAATTTAAATATCTATCTATTCAGATAAGCAAGATGATGAGCCTCTTTAATTGGATTCTGCAAAAACCTATCTCAGTATAACATTAACAATTACTTCCATTTTGACAACCACTTTAGTGATTAGATACTTCCTTATGCAAAGTTCTAATTTACGAAAACTGCAAATAAAATGTCAAAAGGAATATCAAAGTTGTGTAAGTAATTACGTAATCGTCAAGCTGTTGATCAAATTCTCAATAATTTACAAGATGTGAGATAAACTTCACGAACAAGCATTTGTAACAGGTATAATTACTTTTGAAAGTAATTTTTATAAACAAGCAGACAACCTTATTCATAATTTTAAAATACTTTGTAGCTTTTTAAATAACTTTTATATTTCATTACGTTCTTTAGAAGGCCAAATTATTAGATTCGACCCAAAAGGATGCGAATTATCATAGAAACTATTTGATTACTCTGTTATGCTGTTGATGTTTGCTTCCATTACTGCCATAGAGAAGGGTAGCAACAACTCAAATACAAACATTGATGCCACAAATTCAATACCCAGAAACTATCGACTTTAGATGTATCACCTTTTCAGTCGAGTAAGAAACTGGTCTGTTGATTGTGGACCCAAGTTGCTGTATAGAGTATCTTAAATCGATGTGGGTAGGGAATTTCTTTATTTATGCACTAGAAAATCTTCAAAAAAAAAATTAACAAAATTCATTTTTATTTTTGAAATATCATGTACGAGTGAACTGTGGTATTTTTCCTCATGAATTATTTTTGCCACAATAGATTTTGCCACACCAAAATTTCTTACTCTACTATAGAATAAGGGTTGTCTTGAACAGACAACAGCACATTAACCTAAACTTCTTCATTTATCGGTGGTCGTCCAGATTTAGGCCACATTCCCTAAATTTAGATTAAAATCGGCTTTTGGCAAATTGGTGGATGTACAGTAAACGTCTTGTGAAATAAATTTACTACCTCTTGCTGGGTACACATCCTGTCTCCGAAATCAATCATTATCAGTATTTCAACATTTTGTCTTTCCCTTGGTGCACTATTTTATTAAATTTGAAGAGCTATCGATTAAGATGGTCTTTTGATCAGATGGCCGACATAAATCTGTCTTAATACTTTTTACATAAAAATACATCACCCCCACGCAGGCGGGGGTAAAACACTGCTGAAAAAATGCGGACACGCAACCACCTCTTTCGACATTGTCAGGGTTGAAACCGGGATTTGAACCCGGGAGTCGGTAGTAAGTAAAACCAGCTACGTTCGTCAAGAACAAGAGAAGACAAATTTATTTAACAAATTAAATAATAAAATATTTCATCTTCCCCAGACACCCGCCTCCGTCACCGACCGAACATCCGCGCGCCATAAATGCTTCACGGCAATTGAAGGGTTGGCAGGAAGGGCGGCCGATTCAGACTTAAAACTAATTTATATGAACAATAACAACTCTTAATACAATGTATTATATTTGTAAGTAAAATTAAAATGTTAAAACGATATAATATACATACAAGTACAGAGCCCTCATAAATAATAATTTTAACCACGTGGTCAATTGGTACTTTTAACTCGTGATTTTGTGTCTTTCATATTATGGCAGTAACTGATGAGGATTTAAGGAACCGTTTTCAACCAACTTTGGTTGACGGCATGACTCGACAAGGCTTTTAAAGGGAACTGATTGGTCGCGTGATTTTCGATAATTTATGAAGACCCGTTATAAAGAGTCTTACACTAATGTATATAAGCTATTAGTATGACACATCTACAATAGGTTGCCATGGAATAACTACTAATCATCTGACGTTTGTGAGTCTGTCATTAAACTTCATATTAATGCATGCAGTTTTTATTATAATGAGCATATTTTCAATTAATCAAAATGTTTATATAGTAAAAGAGTTTGCTAGAAGTGGATCAATCGTCCAAACACAGCGAAATTTTCAACTAGAATTCAATGTTGAAAGGCGTTGACGAATACTGGTAAGAAAAACAATTTTAAGATGGGAGAGTGGTTTTAATCGAACAAGCAATATCCAGTCAAAGTTTAAAGATAGTGTTCGAACCGTTCGGACACCAAAGCATACTGAAATGGTTCGTGTTGCCATTCAGTGAAGTCCAATACGGTTTGCACAAAACATTGGGCAGCCTTGTAGTTTTCTGAAAGAAGGCTCTTAAATTGTTAAAATCGATTTACATTTCTACCCCTATAAAATTCAGATCGGACAGAAGCTGAGTGATGATAAAACGGTTCGTATGACATTGTGTAGACAATTCTTACAAATCCTGTCATTTAAGTAGTTACGTCAATAACACAATTCGTCGCGCCTAAGTATTATCTGCTTCTTCATCAGAAACCACTAACTACATGATTTAAGAGTGACTATGACATGGAGTGTTAGGTTTTGAATTCGTTGGACCGTTTTTGAACAGAATCAGACACTATTTGCTCAAATCGTTATGTGAATATGTTGAAAAATTTTTAATGATTAATTGGCAAAGACTGGGACAAAACAAAGTTTGGTTTCAACAGGATGGTGCGGTAGCCCATACAGCAAGATGTAGCCATATTGTTTTAATGGAAATGATTTGTAACAAATTGATTTCGAAATATTGCCCTGCCATTCCATTACACCTGTTATATGTATAGCTCTACGAATACTCTCTTTATACATATATTATTAAATGTAGCCCGTAAATGTTAGCCTAAAATCAACCCTACTCAAATCGGTATTCTATTTAATGGTCAATTATTATTGCGGAAGTTTATTACCATTGACACCATTCAAGGCCCTCATTTAATTCAATTAATTTGTCACATTATATTGAATCAAGGCTTTCTCATAGAATACACTGAATTTATAAAACTACATATTGGTAGGTACCTACTTAGAAACTTTACTAACAATTGATAACGTTATAATTCGAAGAAGTAAGACGCATAATTTTTTATGGAAACTAATTTCAAAATTTGACAAAAATAGTTTCAGTTAAAGAAAAAATAATTCAGAAAAACTAGAAATGAAAATATGTCCTGCTATAGACATCGTGTCACAAACTTTAATTTACCAAAATTTGTTTCTACGGGTAACTTAAAATATTACTTTGCTTGTTAGTCAAGGATACACAGGGTGATTTTTTTTTGACAGGCCATTAGAAGTATCTTGAGAAAGAAAAAACATATTGATCTCAAAATTTGGCTGTGGGCATAAACGGCCAGGATCTATTTAATGAAAATATTTTGAAAATGGTGGCATTTCCGGCTATACCAGAAGTTGACCTCAACTGCGTTATTTTAAATGGAATGACCCTATTTTTAATTTTTTTTTTGGATTGAACGTAAGATTCTGAGGTTCTTATGTTAAAGGTTCCCTATTCTTAAAATTAATATTTTTCGAGCGCATTTTTTTTCTGCGTCGACTGGTGTGTTTAAATAGGTAGCATGCTATTTAAAAAAAAATGACTTTTGCCATTTTTGTGTACTTGACAGATAACGTCATCTAGAATCTTTGTTGTAAGAAAATTTGAAATTTTTTTTACATGATAGGTAACCTCAATACTCTCTCTTACCTGCAAACAAATTTCAACGTCTTGCTGTTAACCGTTAATGAGATATTAATTTTTATGTTATGTATCTTTTCTGCTAAAATTAGGGAAAAAAATATATCTCGGAAAATATTAATTTTAGGCATAGGGAACCTTTAACAAAAGAACCTCAGAACCTTACGTAGAATCCAAAAAAAATAAATAAATAAAAATAAGGTCATTCTATTTAAAATAACGAAGTTCAGGTCAACTTCCGGTATACCATAAAATGCCACCATTTTGAAAATATTTTCATTAAATAGATCCTGGCCGTTTATGCCCACAGCCAAATTTTCAGATCAATATGTTTTTTCTTTCTCAAGATATTTCTAATGACCGGTCAAAAAAAATCACCCTGTATACCATGTGCAAAAATGTGTAAAGTAGTAGATTGTAC